CTGGGGTATATTTCCCGGATTTTATTGAATTTGGTTAATGGTGGTGTCTTCGTAGAAGAATACCCCTTGGTTTTCTATCATATACTCCCTCAGTGGTTGTCGAGGGGGATTTGGTACACCAAATAATTCTACAAGGCGCGTCATCTGCGCTGTTAATTGTTGATTAGTTTGGGTAGTATTCTAAATAAGGGGCTGAAAAATTTCTCCCATAGTTTGAGACATCATTTGAACCATTTGATGGTTACTTTTGTCCATCTGTTGTCTCAAATAAGATGCAGAACTGGTTGCCAAACTTGGCATCTGGGTTGAATACTCTATTCCTAAATTTTGACTATTTCGACCCATATTTACCCTATAGTTAGATCCCTGTAATGGCGAAGTCATTACCGGTTCTGTATATAATGGAGGGGCATTTTGTAAGTTTGCCATCATCGAAGTTGGCATTCCATAGGGTGGGTCTCGAGGCAAAGGCATTGAACACCCAGGGGGATGCCTTTGAATGTTGAAGCCTCTATCAGCGATAGGGTCTGTAGAGGACCCTTTGACCCAATATAAACCAGAATAGGTTGTGTATGGGAAATCAAATGTATGGGTATCAAACTTCCCATAGATGGTATTGCTTCAGAGACAGGCGCTGAGACCGTTGGTCCTCATGTCGAAGATCTTATGTGTTGTTCTATATTGTTATTCGGCATATCTTGAGGAATATTTGGCTGGTTTGAATTTGTCGCCATTCACCTCCTATATCTCCTTCTTGTTCTATCTTCGTTAACGGTGGCTACCTTACTGCTTCTTAATAACATGCAACGAAGTTTTTTTCAAAGAAAAAGTTGACCATAGAACTAATAAATTTTTTCCAAAAAAATTTTGAAGCAATTTTTATGATCACTTAGCACCGTTCCACTGGGCGTGCCAATTTGTTCACCGTGAAAATTGGCAAACATCTGGTGATCTTACAAATCGGAAAAAAGATTTGTTTTACTTGCAGGATCGACCATACAAATCCTAGAACATCTGCTAATTTATCTTAAATAAAGTTTATAAAAACTATGAACACTTTGACAAAGTTCATGATAAAACAACTTATCTCAAATGTAAATGAATTTAGGTGACAAGAAGTAAAATCGAAGTACTGGTAAATGATGAAGACAAGAACTTGCATAAAGAAAGAATAAATTCTTAAAGAAAGAGATTTATTAAATTGCATTGAAATGAAAAGCTGTTGTTATATCAACGTACATTCTTACAAATTTGTTTCTCTTAATACACGGGTACTTGGAGTATACTGAAGAATTTGTACACAATTGAATACACAAAAATCCCAACACTAATACCTGCTATTTATAATAATAAAAAATAACTGTCATTAATAGCTAGCAAGCGAAATCGAGAAAAGTGTCGCTATGTATGCCTTCGAATCCTAGAAGCGCTTCACGTGTCTCCTTTAAGGAATAGGTGAAAACAGACTTTCCCTCTTTTATTTGAATTCAAATTATCTTGTCGAAATACCCTTAGTGACACCTCTGTCGAATCAAATCTTCCAATTGCTGAGAAATATATTTAAGTCCGTAACATAGATTCTTCTGGCGAAAGGACACCTTCGACTCCCATCCAAAATACAGCTTCAGTCGAAATAATTAAATTTCTCCAGGAATTCTATTTTCTGCTTTTAATTCCATTCAAGTGTCGAAATTAAGAGCCAACATCCTCTCATAAAAGAGGTTTGGGTAAGACTTGAACTAAGCCAAACTGTCGAGCGACAAGATTGGGATGATAAGCGATCAAGGTAACCAGACTCTTAGAAAGATTGAATCTGAGGGTTAAAACCCTGGGAGTTAGGAAAGCTTCCCAGATTGCAATAGACTCTGCTTCTTGGGCCTTCGACGGAGCTGGAAATGGCTGGGTAAACCATTGAGGACTGCATTTCCTTGCAGCGAAAGGAGCCATGTTTGATGAGAAGTTGTAGCATTTGGCAAACATCATGATATAGCTAGTGAAGGTTTGTTGAATAGGCTGACCTTCGTCAGTAGGAGTTAAATTTGCCAAGCGTGGACCTTCGGTTCTCCTGTTTTTCACTTTGTCAGCATCTTCATTAATCAGATTTTTGTAAGGAAGGCAAGCTTCAAATGAAGCATTCAACCACAGTTGCAGAAGTATGAAAGGCCTGGAGAGGAGGAGATTCCCTTTGTCCCCTAGACACTTAAGTTGGGTAACACCTTTGCTCATAGATTCATAAAGACTGGCCAGAATCAGTTTGCTCAAACATAGATTATGGCCAGAATGGAGTTGGTTCACCATGGTTAAGAATTTCCTGGCTACTTGGAGTGACTTTGAACAAAAGACACAGCGAGACAACCATAATGCTAGGAAGGCTATGTGCTCTACATCAGATACCTCCTCTAGATCTTTGTCATGGTAATGTGCTATGTGGGTCGAATATGCTGCCCTAGAGGCTGCAAATTTTATGCTATCATCAGACATGTAGTCTGGGTCATATGTGTTGCCAGTCGGTTTGAGCCCTGTGATAGCGGCTACGTCGAATAAGGTGGGTGTCATCATTCCATAGGGAAGATGGAGAGTGTAATGAGTGCTATCCCAAAAATACAAGGAAGAGACAAGCATGTTTGAACAGTAGTCAGGGCTTACTTTCGACAACATAATCAAATAAAAAATGCCCATGTCTTTCCAGACTTGGGACTTTGTTTTCTCCAATTTCTCTATCCATCCTAGATAATCAGAAGGATCCTTAAAAGATGGGCTTGCTCGAAATACCCTAAAATTATTCATGTACCTAAGGTCAATTGCTTCTTCAGTCGAAGGGTTGCTCTGATTAGCGGGATTAGGATCCTCATTATTAGCCCTAGGTTTTTTGGCATGACCTATGGGTTTGTATTTATAGTAAGTTGGAAAGAAATCCCTAAGTTTGCTAGGATCAACATTAACATAAGATAAATGATCTACAAAGCCAAAGGCTTACCAACAACAGTGAGAGGAATGAGTATCTGCGAGTCATAAATTCTTTTCTTTTCCTTAGCAAGTGGTTTAGGCTGATATTGTTGATTTCCCACCATAGTTGGACCAGTGATCATGTCAAATGGAGGAACCTGAGAAATATTCTTAGGGACCTTCACAGGCTTAGTGGATTCTTTAGTGGCTTTGTTAGCATCTTTGGTGGATCGGGTTAATGAAGCCATTGTTGAAATGTGAAAATGGAAAAACTGGGTTCTTTGAGGTACAAGAAGATTGTGAGAGATGAGAGTTCAGAAAACGTAAAAAGTGAAAAGAAATGAAAAAGGGAGTATTTATAAGGATGGAAGTGGGAACGGTTCCAAGATGGCATTAATGGTTAAAATTGGAGTGGGACACGTGTCCTTTCCACTATCCTTGATGGAACGGTGGCAGTTAATGCCTAGCCCCATGATCTCCTAGGGTCTAGGAGGCGTGATGATGACAAAGATTCTCACGTGGGTTGAAGGGACATTTCAGAAAAGCGTATTCATGACCATGGGGTCATAAGCGTGCTGAAGAAGGAGAACCATTTTATAACATTGATTCATCAGAAACGTCGAATCGCACATGGATAATTTATGGCATCAAATAAGACTATCAAAAAATTTATTTTTCTTCAGTGGTGTCGAAAACGACATTTTTTTGGGGCAATCTGTTAGCTCCCAAATTCGACGCCTAGTTTGGATTAATGGAATTAATAAAGAAAAACAATTTATATGAAGTTATGAGAAGCTTCGACAAAACTGTGAAACCTGGTAGTTTTTTTGGTTGAAGTCACCTTTTGTACAGGGAGAATATGTTGAACAGATTTAGGAAAATATTCCAAGTCTTGGAAGTTGAGTCGACAGGGAACTACTGATGGTGTTTCGACGTAAGATTTGAATTCAAATAAAGGAGAGAAATTTGTTCTTATCCATATTTTGAGAGAGACACGTGGAGCATTTTCAAGAAAAGAAGACATGCCGAGTGCCACTTGTCTTATTTTCGTAAGAAGGCTGTTAGAGACAGTTATTTCGATCATTATAAATAGGAAGTCATAGCGTTAGGACTGTGTGTGTTCAAAGTTGTACAAAATTTCTAGAATTACTCAAAGTACCCGTGTGCAGAGAAAAGAATGTGTTGAGAAAATGTATGTTTGATGAAACACCGTATCTTTACGCTTCAATTCAAGTTTTATCTTTTTACCCACAAGTTTATCTTCTTTATTGCCTAAGTTATTTTCAATGCATTTACTTGCTTTTTGATTAAGTTTCTGCAATTTACTTTCTTTAAAATTTTAAAGTTGTTAACTTTTAGATCATGAATACTGTCGAAGTATTCACCATTTTCCAAACTTTATTTTAAGATTTACTAGCACATGTCCTAGGATCAGTATGGCCGATCTTGTAAGTAACGAAATTCCTTTTCAATTTGGAAGACCAACGGTTATTTACTAATTTTCACCGTAAACACGTTCCAGAACAACCAACAATAAAACAACAAAAACCAAATTTAACTTTAATCGAAAGACCCTCTTATGTGTTCGGGCGAGTTTCTATCAAAAAAATCAAATCTAAATTTTTAAGAAGGCAGAGCCTTGACAAGGTCCGAACTGCACGAGGACATCCTAAACCCCTACAGTTCCAACTAATGATCATTAAACTAACTTTTGACATGTTAATCGGGTAATTTTTTTACCCAACTTATTTTAGAGGGTAGATAAGAATTCATCAATATTTTTATATTAAATTTTTTAACAACTAAAGTTAATATTGAAAAAAAAAAAATAATTATGCATTTGACAAGAAAAAAAGGAAAAAAAAATTAAATTTAGAGATATTTTGAACAAGGTATGAAACGTGCTCGAAATCTCAAATCGACGAACTTTCCTTCTTCCTCAAATTTCTTTCGTAAATTTTCTCTCTCATATATACTCAATTACTCCTCAACTCCCACAGCGTACAATAATCGATCTTCATCTCGTCACAATTAGGGTTTTGTTTCTTCCAATTATGGCCGCTAATTCCCTCAGAGCTGGTTCTTCTTACGGCGGCGCCGTCCCTTTCCGATCAAGGTATCTCCCTCTCTGTATCTCTCTCCCTCCGAATTCATGTATATGTAGTGAATTGTGTAAGTGTTGGATTGCAGCGATGGACTTAGTACCCGACCCGGTGCTGCATCGGAAGAGATCCAATTGCGGATTGATCCCATGGACTTGGACGATGAACTCACAGGTCTTCACCACCAAGTTAGAAGGTTGAAACATGTGAGTTCCGCTATTTTAGGGTTTTAAACGCCTTTTTGATTTCGTAGTTGCTGTTTTGTTGCGTATGTATGCAATTTTGAAGCTATGTTGTAGACTTTTACATTTGATGATAAGTGGAAACTGATTTTAGATAACCTTGACTAGTGAAAACCCTTATTCATTAAGGTTCCAAGGATTCTGTATAACAACAACAAGGTTTTGTGCGGGAGATATCTTTTATTCACAATAAACTGTAGTAAATAATAGATATCACTCTTATATTAGGATGATTGTTTGTTTTGTTAGTTATCTTGTAAGTATAGATAGCGGATGTTTAGTTCAGCGGTGAAAAAAATTGATTTTGAATGAATTGATTATGTTAAATTGATTTTGGCTAAAAGTGAGTTGAAGGTAAATGATTTATGCTTGGACAAATTCGTGCAAAAGTGAGTTGGACGATAAATTTCAGTGTAAAAATTACGATTAAACTTAAAAGCTACAAATTCTAGTTTTGCAAGTAGAATCAATTTTGGAAAGCATAATCAATTTTACTTGAAAGCAACCAAACACATCAGAATCAATTCTACACATCTAGAAGCAATTCTTGGTGCTTCAAACGTGAAACCAAACATACACGTAATCATTGCCACTTCCTTAAATTTTTACCATGCACTTGCTTCTTAGCTCATACATTTGTTTCTTTTCTAAGTACTGCTAAAGAAATTGGTGGAATCTTAATGCTTTTATTGTTGGAACAGGGGATGTAATTTTTATCTACTCTTTTTAGGTTACTTTATTCTTCGAGAAGAAATATGTTATGTGTACATTTTCTTGTCCTCAAAAATATTGTCAATAAAGAGAGCGATATAAATATGCTTGTTATCATGGATGCATGTATGTTATCTGGCTTTTTCCTTTCCCCATTCCAGAAAATAATATTTGGGATTGCAGCATATATGCTTGATGTTGTGGTAACTTATGGAAAATAAGTTAAATTTTCAACTACTACTAGTTAATGATTCTTCGGTCGTGGCAGCTTAACTTATTAAACTATGTCCTGCTAATTATTCCTTCTAGAAGTTGGTTAGCCTTATTAACCTCTCAAGTTAGTTAAAAGATAAGAATTGATCTGGCCTTGTCAAGATTGATCGGGCCTTGTCAAGATTGATCGGTTCATATCTGTTGTTGACGTAAGATATCTAGACCAAAGTAGTCATTCCCGGATAGCGGCGTTCCCCCAAAAGTGGGATACCTGGATAGCATATAGCGGGATGAGCACTCTATTTGATCATTTTTTGGAAAAATAACATATAATTATAAACACAGTAAATGTAAATTTAAACAAATAATTCAACTCATAAAATATTCATAAATCAAAGCACACATGACTCTTAAAGTGCATAAATGACTATGAAGGAAAGTTAAGGTTGAGTCTCAACTCAAATTTGATTGAATAAACCCAAAATTATCCTTAAAACATTGTAAATTTAAGGGGTAATTTCATTTTTTTAGAGGGGAAAAGGATATCAAGCTAGAAACCACTCCGAGCCGGGAACCGCTCTTCTCCGCTATTATGCTATTTACCCTATAACGACCGCTATAGTGTTTTGCACCGCTAAAGCTCTTCCTATAGTGTTTGGCTTCCACTCCGCTCCACTATAGCGGGATAGCGCCACTATTGGCCACTATTGACTGCCCTGACCTGGGCGCCATTTCTCGCATGGGAAAAGACATAGGAAGCATGAACAAATGTGGGTGGCCCAATAACAGGCGATTTAATATGTAAGTATATGTACTTGTAGGCCCAGTTGTCTAAGGTCCCGATGGAGTCACCCAAAAAGGGAAATTAGAGATGAGAGAAAGTGTTAAGAGAGAGTGGGAGAGAAAGTTTGTTATATAGGATGGAGGATAGAATAATGAGGTACCGAGGAAATTAATTGTCTGAGTTAGTTGAGGGTGAGAGTATCCTTCTCTGTAGGTGCATAGCTCTGGGCAGTGTGAATGTTATTCCACATATTGTATTTTCCATTTCCAAAAATATCATACTGATACATTCTCCGTTATTTCCCTTTATTCAGTATTTAATCCATTAATTCCTTAATATTCTGTTTGGGTTCCTATCAGATCTTAATTCCAGTTATTGAAACTAGTTTGATGAAATATATTACATTTCTAAACTTATTTCCTCTCCCTTACTTTTCTTCTTCTTTGCTTAGTTAATTCTCATGCTAAATCAAATATTTCTGGCACAGGTTGCTGAGGAGATAGGGACAGAAATGAAGTATCAGAAAGATTTTCTTGAACAACTGGTAATATAATTTCTTGGACTATCTCTTTTTTTGTGTTTTTTTGTTGGCTCAAACTCAAGTTTTTTGTAGTGGAAAACACGACTACATCTGTTGCATATTCAGGCAAAATAGATTTCTTCTTGAATTGTGGATGCTCTAAGGATTTGAAAGCTGAATGTTGTGGCAGAAATAATTTCTTAATTAGGCAATTAGGATCAACTTTCTTTTATGTTAAGTGTCTTAAGAGTTTGGATAAAGGAACACCACCACCTCATGCATGTTGCTGTTATAATATTTTCATTTAAAAAATAGAGTAGAATTGATTTTTATTATATGTTCAGTCCTAGTAGTTGATCAATTTTTGTTAAATGTCCAACTGTCGTGTTAACATTTTAGTTTTTATCTATTTTAATACAGCAAATGACAATGATAAAAGCCCAAGCTGGAGTGAAGAATAATCTCAGAAGATTGAACAAGAACATTATCCAAAGTGGTTCGAACCATATTGTTCATGTCGTTGTTTTTGCATTAATCTGTTTTACTATAGTGTATTTTTGGTCTAAAATATCAAGAAAATGAGACTTGAGAATTTAAAGCTCGCTCTCTGGTTGAAAGACTTTACTTAAGGCTTCTTAAGATGATGAGTCGGTGACGATTAACTTCAAAATACTTCAGTGGTTTTAAAATGTATCTGTATATGGCATAGTTAAAGAAGCTATTCTATTTGAAAAAAGAATGCACAGTTTGTTAGCTCGTTTTATCATGTTTTACTATTGGAATGCGGAATTTGTAACTTGATTTTAATCCCTGGCTGTAATTGATTGTGAGGAATTCCTTGACATGTTCAATGGAATGTCTCATAGAAAGAGTAACACTGTGCTCTGATTTCTGTGTTCTTTTTTAAAGATTTGTGAAGCATTTTGTTAAAAAATTGGTTAGTGGAACGAAGTTCAAAGCACTAACGTGCTTTCAAAAATAATTTGGTTGATATACAAATCTTTGTCTAGTTCTCTATAAATCATCTTTGCCATTTAATCGGAAATTTGAATTGATGACTATGTTTTGACTTTTTCTCTTTTCTGTTTTGTAATTGGAATTATCTAACCATAGTAAATATTCCCACCCATAGGTGGGACATTAGTGAGGGCGTAAGCAAGAATTAGTGACCCTTGAAATTCTTTATACTGTTAATATACACGTTGAACATTTACATACCCCTGCCTAAGAGAGAGAAAACCTTGGCCACGCTTTGAGTCGCATGAGTTGCGTTGGATATTGGCAAAATGGAAAAAGAGTGTCAAGGTTGGCATGCTCTTTTATGTTCAAAGCAATGCTGAAAGACTTTGCCGTAACCCTAACTCACCAGATACGAATGTGAAGGGGGTAACCCCAAGGTTATTGAGGACACTCACTTTAAAATTATTGAAGTGAAGTTAGACTAATCCACGAAAACAAACAATAATGAAGAGAAATGACACATTCTTATTACCTATTGCATAACCTTTTATTTTCCTTCGGGGAAGCACCCCCTAGCTTAGGGAGGAAACCATGCCGGTGAAGGCAAGATCTACTCCTTTAACCAGAAAATGTAAAGATAGTTTTCAGGGTCTCCATCTCATCAAACTCTTCCTGTTCCATAGACTGACGAAGACCGACGAAGACGTCATCAAAGGGAAGCCCAGGAACATCAATCCCCATTTCACCAATTACTAATGAGGATTTGGGAACAACTGTTTTGAGTCGGTTACAAGTTCAAAGACAAGGGTTCATTTTAAAGTCAAATGTTTTAAGTCAGTCACAAGTTCAAAGACAATGGTCCATTTCAAAGTCATCCACAATCGAACAAATGATATGTCGCTAGTGAGTGAAAACTTAATCTAAACCACTTGTGTATTATTTGTCGTCGGATTTGATCGGACTCTACATATGTCATGTCAAGCCAAACGTAAGCAGTTTAAATTGTTTACAATATATAAACTCTAAGATGCTCCATTTCATATACTATCTCATTTACTCTCAAACTACATTCTTAAAATGATTTTGACATTCTTGAAATGACTTTAATATTCTAGTACTAATTTTACAAATTCTCCCGTTCTATCTTACCGGAAGCTTGAACAACTTGTTCTCTCAATATAATATATTTCTTTTCGACTTTCAATTTCAAAATAATATATTTAAATATAAAATATTGTGTATCAATTCATAATATTTTAGTTATTTAAATAAATTTCATAGCTACTTTGAAAAAGAAAACCTACAAAAGTGTTACATTGACAAACTTGTAAGTTACTTTAAAGCAACGGGGTCTTGTTTTCAACACTATCCCACTATCATTATATTAAAATTGGAAGATTCCAAAAGATTACAAGAAATAACTTTAAAAATGAAGCTAAATTATTGAAAGCAACCAATTTATAAGCTTTTTGTCTTCTCTTACAATCATTAAACAATTTATTGATATTGAGAGAATATAAAATAGAGGTTGAAAGTTGGAATTCTTAACCTGCGATCAATATCTATAAGAAGGTAATTGACATGCTATAAAATTGTCCATTATACATTAGTTAAGCTGTAAGCCATTCATATTATAGAGAAAAAATGAATGGTCAATATTCAATATAACAACTTGAATAGTCTACATTCTTTTTTATTTATTTATAGATTGATCTCGCTAAAACCGTATGATTATAATGAAAATTTAATAACGATCCTTTGTTTTTTTTTTAATTTACAAAATTATCTTATTTAGTTATTTTCTTAATAAAAATTTAAGTTAAATATAATTATGATCCTTAAAAGTATTTAAATATTCCCGTTAATTTTATTTTTTTTGAATATTAGTCCTCAAAATTTTTATCCTTAATTTTAGTTTTCTATATTAACTTTCATTAATAGAAGCTTCTCAATCTTTACACATTTACAATGACCAATGACGTGTCTTTAAAATAATAAATAAATAACATTTTTTTTATCATTATTAGATATTATTATTATTAATTAAAAAACAAACAAATTCATTTTATGTATCAAAGTCTTTTTTTTTAATCAAAACGCATAATATAGCTGTGGATCTGCATGGTGATTGAAATTGAAGAGGATTACAATGTTACAACAATTAACTATTGGTGAAAGATTAGTGACTTGCTTCAGCCGAATGAGGAGTGATTTCAGGTTGTTTTGTCCTTATTTGGGATGAAGGACTTGTGCATGATTGGTTATATTACAGTCAACTACGGGATGCTTAATGCATTCGTGGAGAGATGACACACCGAGACCTCGTCATTTCATTTCCCATTCAGTGAGATGTCTACCACACTCAACGATGTGTCGTGTTTGCTGCATCTTCTGATCAGAGGGAAACTTCTAGATCATGGTAGGATTAGCGGAGACGAGACACTCGAGATGATGGTAGACTATTTGGGAGTTGGCCCAGAGGATGCCTTGAAGGAGTTTAAAAAAATCCGAGGGGCTCATGCTAGGTTTGAATTCCTGATAAGGTACATACATATGAGATCCTTAGAGTTGAGGAGGCTAGAGGCGATGACGAACAGGTGGGGCTCCATAGAGCGTATGCTATGAGACCATATCTGCTATATTTGGTTGGCACTGTGATTTTTGTGGACAAGAGTGTCACTTATACAGATGTCGTCTACCTACGGCACTTCGAGGACTTCGAGCGGATCCATGAGTACAACTAGGGGACGCTTGTTTTTTCTAATTGTACTCGAAGTTATCAGAGGGCTGTAGATGGAAGACGAAGTAAGTCATAGGCAACATCACACTACTAACGATAATATTTATTGGTCTTTTAATGTTTCTGTGTCATTTTTATTACATTTTTTCAACGCCCTTACTGATGATTCGCGTGTCCAACACTTTTTAGGATTGGATCCTCAAGCATTTCTCGTGCATCTCTGGATGGTCGTGTGTACCAACTTACATGAGGATATGATGCATGCTTCTACATTTTCCCCGCTCAGAGGGAACCAAGCGATAAATTCGTTCAGAGTGTATCTTGACTACTTGGTTGCCGAGGATATGCACTTCAACAACTATGTCGATCACAGTGAGACGCAATCATTTGACAACATAGTGTTATACTCGGGATGGTTGGCTTGCGGCTCAAGTCTTACATTTCCTCATTTGCCTGAGCATGTTATGCGGAAGTTCAGCTACACTCCGACTATTTCCAGACAATCTTTTATCTCTGCTCCTTTTGCTATGACACGCAGAGAGGCACAAAGTTACCATAGCTGAGAGTGATTAGAGCTATGTCGAAGGGTATATCAGGTGGTTCTTCAGGGTGTCACGTTTTTATATGGTGCAGGTTGCTTCAGAAGATCCACCGAGGTTAGCTCATCAGAAGATACTAGAGGAGGAACAAGCACAGTTAGATCATGCTCATGATATCTTGCCTAAATGTCGTCTCATCGTGGAGATTATGGAGGCAGGCATTGACAAAGGTATCTTCTCTAATGGTTCTGAGGTGAGGTAGGTCCTAGATGCCATTATGACGGAGACACTGATGTACCGGAGACAGCGTCAGAGGACATGGGGTAATGGATGCCAAAGAGCACAAGAAGCCGATGGAGTTATAGTCCGTAATGAACAATAGTATATAGTAGTTATGATTTGGACTTATTATGGATTACATTTAATTTTTACTTCATTCTACTTTATCGTGTATTTCGACTTTATTTATATAATGTCATTTTTGGACCATCTGGAATTATATATGTCATTTTTTACATATCGATTGTATGGTTTAAATCTCATCACATAACAGGATTCTTAATATTTATAAATCATCACTTTCATCTGCGTAACCATAAAACAAATATAACCTGCATTGTTCTGATAGGGTACAAAGATGCATCTCTGTAAACCCTAAACGAAGATGCATCTCTGGAACAATAAACATGTAAAATGAGTTTCAAAGTGGGATGCATGGTGTATGTTTTAAAATATATTGGAGATGCATCTCTGGATTAGTTAACGTGTTGACTTAAGGCAAGGTGCGTCCAGAGATACATCTCTGGAATCTGAGGGAAATTATGGGTTTTCAATAGGGTGTTTTTTGACCCTATAGGGTGGGATAAGAAATTCCCAATGGTTTATTGTGTATAACCATGTTGGATTTCAATAGAAAATTTTATTAATACAAAGGGTTGAATTAGGTTATCTTCTTCTGGGAGAGCAGATTGTTGGAATTTTTCAAATTTTTATCTTTCATATGGAGGTTATTTATTGACTTATCTTTTTTAGTAGAAAACTTATTTGGTTTCAGTCTAATGGAGAGAGAATTAGTAGGATTGACCATATTTTGATTTCTAATTGGTAGTGGAATGCCTGCGGGAGACTTTTCAACGGGATTTATCAAGGGATGTCTCTGATCATTGTCATATTATCTTGAAGTACAATGATCAATTGTGGGGCCCCAAACCTTTTAGACTTAATAATCATTGGTTAACCCATAGTAGTCTTCTGAAGTTAGTTACAAATTGTCAGAACTCTATTCAAGTGCATGGTTGGCAAGTGTTGATAAAAAAGTATTTTCATAAACTAGTATAATTAAG